CAGGTACTCTGCCCAGTTATAAATTGAATTGTTTATTTTTGGGGGGTTAAGTTGTTTGGGTTATTTGTATATTTTGGATATTAACCTGTTATCGGACATCATTTGCAAATATCTTCTCCCATTGAGTAGGTTACCTTTTTTGTTTTTTGATGGCTTCCTTCTCAGTGAAAAGCTTATTTTGATGTATCCCTAATATATTTATTTTTGCTTTTTTATGGTTTTAGGTCTCACATGTAGTTGGTCTTTAGTCTATTTTATTTGTCTGTATGATGTAAGAAAGTGGTCTAGTTTCATTTTTTTGCATGTAGTTGTCCATTTTTCCCAAAACCATGTATTGAAGAAAAACCATTTTTTTCTATTTGTATATTCATGACTCCTTCATCATAGATTAACTGACAATGTAAACATGGGTTCATTTTCTGGTCTCTCTATTGTGTTTCATTGATCTATATCTCTGCCTTTGTGTCAGTACCATATAATTTTGGTTGATACAGTTTTGCAGAATACTTTGAAATCTGGGATTGTGATACCTCCAGCTTTGATCCTTTTTTTCTAAAGATTCCTCTGGCTATTCAGGGTCTTTTTTAGTTGTGTACAAATCTAAGTGTATTTGTTCTAGTTCTGTGAAAAATGCTATTAGTATTTTAATAAGGATTACATTGAATCTGTAGATTCCTTTGGGTAGTATGGACATTTAACATTACTACTTCCAATCCATGAACATGGTATATTTTCCCATTTGTTTGTGTCATTTTTTCCTTCATTTTTATAGAAGATTTTTGAAACTAAATCTTGAATCTGTATTCTTTCTGTTTATTTTGTTCTTTTATACTGAGTCAATATATTTATTACCATGTGAATATAAAATTGGTAGAATACAAAATAAGTCAGATCTATTTAATAATTTAATTACAATTTTTTTTAATGTTCCTGGATTGAATTCCCCATTTTGTCTTTCATTTAGTGGTTGAAATGCAGTGTAAATGAAATACTGTGATACTGTTTTTTTTTCTAACTTTTAAAGTAAACTTGTAATTATGAGTCAATGTGGAGTATTTTTAATTCAGTCTCCTATTTATGCTTTCATATTTGTCATCTTTATTCTTCTTCCTCTTTTAATTTTATACTTCTTTTTTTCTCCCCTTAAACTTTTGGCTTTCATTTGACAACCTCTTATCTTAAAAAGTAAGTGTGAGACTGATGGTCAAAATTAAAGATAACTGTATTGAATCTAAGAATGATATCATTCTCTTTCCTATGATGAGTCTGCATTGGTGATTAATGCACCCTGTTGTCTTGCACATTTCTTGATGTACACTTTACATGATTAGTTTTTTTCACTTTGTGAAGAGATGACTGATTAATATATCTTGAGTCATGATAGCTTAATTGCAAAGCATTAGAATGGCATTTCTCATCTCAGATGTGGTCTTTACATGCATTATGGTTTTGAACATCTTTCTAAATCCCTTTTATATATATATTTTCATCAATAGCACCGGAATAGGGAAATAGTTATCTTGACAATATATTTTTTTTAATTGTAGCTTTTGTAATTGTTACTTTCTTTACCTTAGAAAAAAAATTTGATAAGTAATTGTGAAAGTAATAAAATACTAGTGTAATTAACTAAAGGAATATTCTCGTCCTTTTACATGTCTAAATCACTATATTGTATCACCCAGCCGATAAGACCATAGTGCTGACTTTCCACTGAGATAACCTAGTGCCTTAATCTTGGCTCCGTCATTTACTAGCTATGTGAGCTAAGGCACCATTGCCTTATCTTAAAATCAGGATAGTAATGGTGCCTGACTATAGTAATTTTGTGATAAGTACATGGGATTTGATCAATGTAAAGTGCCTATTACCTTAAACTCATATTAAGTGTTCAACAACACAGCTAGTGTTGTCAGTATCAAAGGGAGAACATTTTTCTGTTGTGTGTAATCTCTGGGAATATCCAAGAAATGCTTACATGTCCCACAGTTCATCTGGAACTCTCACCTCTGCCATAGGGCCTTGATCCAGACTACAGCTGTGTTAGAGTCCTGATGGTTACCTCTTTATAATTATACAAGTGGCTCTTCTAGGAAGTAGGTGTTGTTTCTTTTTTCTTGGTCAATGCATGAACATAGATTTTTCCTTTTCTCATTTATAGGCTTAGCAATGATAGGAGAGTATCGCAGTGAAGAAAAGAAAAATAAATCTCAGTAGTGGATATTGTATTTCCTGGAATTCACAGGCTGTGCTTCTGCCTAGGATGTTTTCTCTTGACCCTTTCTTGATCTGTTTCTCCAGGCTTGTCCCTTTGCCATCTTTCAAGGGGCTAAGTCAGCTCTTCCACATCGAGAGATCCAGACCATATTCCTTCTTCTTATAGTACAGGCCCACCTGCCTCCATTCTTGGAGAGAAGAGAATGTTGGTAGTCTTCATTCTAAATTCTCTTTTCTTTCCTCAGGTTGATTGACAATGTGACTATCATATTCATTAAGGGAAAATTCCCACCCCAATTTACTATATATGTTTTAGTATATGTTCTTTACTTGAACTATGCAGTCATATTTCTTAGTGTATTTCCAGAGTCTCATGTATTCAGTCTGGAATGCACTATTTTTAGAGATCTTTCCAATATGTGATTTAACATGTCTCACTTTCTATTTCAGCTTCTTGATAAGGGCCAGATTGAATAGCTGGGGTCACAACATTTTCTGTTCTGTTTTCTTCCTTCCTTCCTTCCTTCCTTCCTTCCTTCCTTCCTTCCTTGCTTCCATCCTTCCTTCCTTTCTTTTTTAAAATTATGTTTATTATTTATTTATTTTAAATTTAAATTTATTTTAAATTTATATGTTGGTTAACATATAGTGTAATAATGATTTCAGGAATAGAATTTAGTGATTCATCACTTACATATAACACCCAGTGCTCATTCCAACAAGTATCCTCCTTAATGCCCCTCGCCCATTGAGCCCATACTCTCACCCAACACCCCACCAGCAGCCCTTAGTCTATTCTCTGTATTTAAGAGTCTCTTATGGTTTGTCTCACTCTCTGTTTTTATATTATTTTTGCTTCTCTTCCCTAATGATCATCTGTTTTGTATCTTAAATTCCACATATGAGTGAAATCATATGATACTTGTCTTTCTTTGACTGACTTATTTCACTTAGCATAATACACTCTGGTTCCATCTATGTTGTTGCATATGGCAAAATTTCATTCTTTTTGATTGCTGAGTAATATTCCATTGTGTGTGTGTATCTTCTTTATCCATTCATCAGTCAATGGACATTTGGACTCTTTCCATATTTTGGCTTTTGTCGATAGTGTTGTTATAAACATAGGGTGAATGTACCCCTTTGAATCAGCACTCCTGTATCCTTTGGATAAATACCTATTAGTGCAATTGCTAGGTCGTAGGGTGGTTCTATTTTTAATTTTTTGCTGCTCTCAGTTTTCTATGGGAAAGTTTTGCTCAGACTATATCCATACCTATACAGGGCATATGTATACACACATTATTTTTAAACATCATACATTTCAGAGTCACTTGTGAAAGTAAAAGTGCTGTCATTGTTGGGGCAAAGGAAGACCATTTAAGCCAATGTTTCTGCCTTGCATTAAAGATTGTAAGTGATCCTTCTCTAGCTTTAAAAAACAGAGCTATATTGCTGGGCACTCCACTAAATGTGGGAAGTTAGAAAAAACAAAGGCTACAGCATAGGTAAGATTGAACTCATACTTATGAGCAGCACTTATCAAATTAAATCCAAAATGAAAAATATTTTTTCTTTGTATCTTCCAGTATATTCTAATCATGCAAAATATATTATTGATAGAAGGCTATACTTCTTAATACTATTGAAAAATCTCTTGTAAGAAAAGATTTGAATGGATTTTTTTATGAATATATGTAGTCTGTGTTTAAACTTTTAGTTTACCGTATGTCCTGGTTGTCTTAACAGTTGACTAAATTATGTGTTAGTGTAAAAATTGCCTTTTCCTAATGAATTTTAAAATAAAGATAGAGAAGAAAGTAAGCTAACTTAAAGTCTTCATAGTGTATTTCATACACATCACTTAAAAATTGCTCACGAAATTAGAATTTTGTCTTCTGTTATTTCTGGTTTATTAGTGTGCAAAGTAAAGTTCCAAATATAAAATGAGTTATTTTATCATAGAAAGGAAGATGGCAGTACTTGAGTTGATAAAATAGATCCCTTCTATTTATCTGTTGGACTAGTCCTGCTTAAATATGGTCTGCTGAGCAAATTGTTTATAACAAGTCCACAAAGAGGTAAGTACAGAAATTAAATGAGTATTTAGAAACTTTTATAGCTTGAATGTCTGGCAATGTCAGAATACTTTTTAAAGCATCATTTTCTTAAAGTAAAAATAAAAACTGTTTCTTTATTACAGATAGTTTGAGAACAGTTTCTAAAAAACAGTTCATATTCAGTTGTGTCATTTTGAATTAGTCTATGTTAACAATACGTTTGAATAAGAATTGAAGAACTTGTAGCAATATAACAGTATTCTGTTGATACAAATATAGTTAAGTATATGTTGAATGATATATATAAACTTTTGAGTAATAATTTTCTTTGGAAAGAAATAAGTAAAAACACATAGGCACCCAAGGTCTTTTAGGGTACCTAGACCTAATTCTAACATGGAATGGGGGATCTGTCCCCCACGCCCACACAACACCAAGCAATTCTCAGATATGAGAGTGTGTAGGAACTCAGATCTGACATGACACTGTGTATCCAAAATTAGCATCACATTCCACAGGTTAAGGGTTCAGTTATGCAAGACTGCTTCTCACTCTCCACTTCAGATGCCCAGCCCCAGGCTGTTACCTGTGCTTCTAACAAACTGGCTACATATTGGAGGTTCTAAATACTTCCCTTTTAGTTTCAATTAATTTGCTAGAGCTGTTTGCAGAACTCAGGGAAACACGTATATATACCAGATTATTAAAGGATATGATAAAGAGTATGAATCAACAGCCAGATGAAGAGGTACATAGAGTGAGCCCCTGAACAAAGGAACGTTGGCTCTTGGGGAGGTTGGGGCTTGACTTGATGACATGGGGAAACCATCTGGTTCCCCAAACCAGAAGCTCTCCAAAAGAGACCAAAGAGCTGTCCTTTTGGGTTTTTATGGAGGCTTCATTTTATAGTCATGTTTGACTAAGTTATTAGCCATTGGCTGATTTAACCTCTGTTCCCTCTCCACTTCCAGAAAGTCAGAGGAGAGGTGGGAACAGAAAATTGCCAACACTTTAACCACATGGTTGGTCCTTCTCAGAATCAGCTCCCAACCTGTGGGGGGGGGAGGGGTGGGCCCAGTAGTCACCTCATTAATGTAACAAAAGACACCTTTATAACCCTCAACACTTAAGAAATACCAGGGGTTTCAAGAGTTGTAAGCCAGGAACTATGGGTAAAGACCAATTATATATTGTGGTCTTCTGAATGACCACATATACGTGACTTATAAATCACAATATTGCACAAAGAAAATATAAACAGGTGTCTATTGGAAGATTTAAGAAGAGAGGGCTGTGTGAATTACATGTCTTATTTTGTTACTCTTTTTAAAAAGGTGTTTATTTGAGCTGTTCTCTTTTTTGCCTTTTTATTTTGCTGTATTTTATTTTTTCTATCTTAAATAAGCCTTTCCTTCTTGGTGAATAGTTATGTAGCCTTTAAGTTCTGTTTGAAACTCTCTCAGATTCGGGATATTCTTTCTTGCTTGCTCCTCCCAAATACACCATATGTATCTCTCTTAGCAGTTTTCTCATATTGTATTTATTTTTAATCTCCTGTTTCTCAGATATACTGAGATAGTGGAAGAAAGGGACTGTTTGCTGTGTAACTTGTTCATTTCATGACTAAGCCTACAATAAATGTTAGATGTTACTTACTATATGCCTGGAAAGTTCTAATTGTTTCATTTCTATTCTTATCTGATCCTTCCAAAAAACATATCATGTTATATCCTTTTTTTATATGAGGAAACTGAGGCACAGAGGTTTAAATAATTTGCCTAAGCATGAATGTGTCACATCCAAGATTTAAATTCAAATATTTGGCTGTAAAGTCTGTTCTAAACCACAGTGTTAATTATGGTTTAATCACTTTTTTTTTTATCTCTTTGGTTTTCATGCTTCTTCATAAAATACTTAAAATTGAAATTTAAATGTAAGACTTACCTATTTGTAGTAGTGTATGTATTTGATCATATTAACCTAATACAAGTAAGAAACTCTAGTTTTGTGTTCTTAAAAAATCTGGTTTAGGTAGTTATGTTGAGTTAAAAGATGATAGGATTTGCTTAAGATCATCTAGCTCTTGTGCAGATTAGCAAAAAGCAAAGGTTAAGACATTGAAATTTCTTGATTTTCTCCATGTTTATGTGTGTGTATGTATGTGTGTACAATTATATACTTTTTTGTAATGATATATTTCTCATATTATGACTTTTAAAAACACAATGATTGAGTTTAACCCTATCTGTTTAAATTCCAAGTTAATTTTATTGACCACAGGTGATAATCACATTTTACTTTATTTACTTACGGGTATATGATGTCTGCAGGCTTTATATGAAATCAGTTTGTTTAAGTTAATATTTAGCATAATGAAAGTTGCAAGACAAGTTACAAATACTGTGTAAAAGCATTTTAGTATAAGTTTTTTAATCAAAAGTCTAAAGTAAAAACACCTTTATTAATCTCCAAATTATTTTAAAATATTGTTTGAAGACTAGAGTTTGTAGAGATAAAAACCCAACACATTTTGTCCAGTCCATTAAAACAATAAGAAATAGAAGAGATACTTTGATAAGTGATCTGCCTGTTTTAACCTTGAATGCTATTATCGGGGGGATGATGCTATATCTGTTTCATTGGCTTAGGCTTTTTCATGCTGAGAGAAATCAATACTTTGAGGCGTTGGATGACAGAGGAATCACTTCAGAATTAAAGGGGGCTGTCACACATTGTCATTGGTTGACTTTCGTTTTCTGTTGAGGTTGTTAAGCTTTCATTTTTCTAAGTCTTTTTCAGGAGTCTTTGTAAGATTTCTGTGGTTAACTTTTTATTTTTTATTTTTTTAACTATTAGACTTTAAATCTGAGTTAAGGGATCAAGAACAAAGACATCCAAAAGTCAAATATTGAAAAGCTTCTTTAGTTGTCCCTTAGGTGATTTTCTTTTTAAATGTTTTCCCATGAGATAAGTAATTTATAGTGTAAGAGATTTTGAGATAAATTGGGAATTAAGGTAGTGCATTTAAAGGTGTTTACCAGAAGGTATGTTTAATTAACTAAAAATGTAATACTCTATGTGTAGCTGAAAGAAAAAAGGTAGAACTATATCTCCTAACATGGAATGATTTATAGTTTGATTCCAGTTATATGGGAACTATATATTACTGTTAATAGTAATTACCCCTGTAGAAAACAACTAGCCAGCCTGGGAGGAGGTAGAAGGCTGAACTTTCTTTTTATTTCACATGTCATTACTTTTTTGTTTTTAAAAGCAAGTATATGTTTCTTAAAAAAAAGTTTAAAATATAAACTTGTAAAACCAATATAGTTCAAGTGCTTATTTAATACTAAAGCCTTATATAATATTTTTAAGATTTTAGCCTTGAACTTTTTAACTGGGATTTATTTTTATTTCATGATAATATGCAGACTTAAAGAAAATTTGCTTAATAATCTATTTCTCGTAAAACATACTGAAACAACTCTAGAAACAGTGTGCACTTAACATTATTCATTTACCTCCTTTTCTTGACTAAAAGAAAGTGCTTGGGAGAAGCCCTTTATGTTTATCCAATCAATTCCTTTTTGCCCCATTGAGCTAAATATTGTTCTGATTTTATGGAATGACTTATTTGCTTTTGTTTTTACTTTCCAAACTTAAGTATATGTCTTTTAGTATTGTAATTTCTTCAGCAGTTTTTGAACTTTATATGAATGGAATCATGAAGCATGTGTTTTGATGTAGCATTATTGAACATTTTTTGTGAAATTGAATGTTATATTTTTCCTATGTCATTTTCAATGCTGTATGGTATACCATTACATGAATAGATGATTAGTTTTTCATAATCTCTTCTACTCTTTTAATTAGGTTTCCAGTTTTTAACTATCGTGATAGTTTTAATAGTTTTACAAGTCTTTTGGTGTAAATACTTATGCATTTCTGTAGGGTAGACTTACTTGACTGTAAAGTATTTATGGTTTCAATTTTAATAGATATTGCCATAGTATCTTGCAAAAGTGTGTATCACTACCAATATCAGTGCATAGCTGTTCCCATACTCCGCATTGTCATCAAAAATTGATCAGTACTTTTTGTCTTAGTATTCTAGTGGTGTTCTGGTAACTTCATTGTTTTTTATTTGGATTTCATTTACGAATGAAGCTATGTATCTTTTCTCCTTGTTATATATTTATTTTTTAAAAAAGTATTTTTGTGTACGTGTTTGTCTCTTACCCAGTTTCTTATTGGTTATATGTCTTTTCTTTATTGATTTGTAGAGGGTATTTACCTATTTGATATATGAGCAGATTTTTTTGGATATATTTGAGCTACTTTCTTCCCTGTCAGTAGTACCCTATTCACTTTTTTAAAACGTGTGAAATAAATTTTATTGAAGTATAGTTTATATATAATGAAACACATCCATTTTAGGTATATAATTTAATGAGTTTTGACTAGTGTATACACTTGTGGAACTGTCATAGTCAAGTAACAAAGTTTCTGTCATCTCTGAGAATTCCCCCGTGATTCATTTTGGTCAGTTCCTCTTTACGTATATACACGCAACCCCTGGCAACTGCTCATCTGGTTTTTGCTATTATAGATAGTTTTGTATACTATATAATTTCATATAAATGGAATTATATAGTAGGTACTCTAATGGATTCTAGTGGATTCTTCTGGTCAGCATGCAGTTTTTGGTACTCATCCATATTATTATGTATATCACTCATTTGTTTCTTTTTATTACTGAGTAGTATTACTTTATCTATTCAGGTTTAGATGGATATTGGGTTACCTCTAATGTTTGGCTTTTATGAAATGCACTAGGGGCATTTTCATGCAATATAGTTTTGTGAAAATATGTTCCTCTTTATGTTGAGGAAATACCTAGGAGTGGAATTGCTAGGTGCTGTTCTCAGTATATTTTTAAATTTGCAAGAAACTGCCAAACTATTTTCTAAAGTAGTTTTTACTTTACTGGATTAGTGGATTTTACAGTCTAACCAGCTAGGTAGGTACAAGAGTTCCACTTGCTCCATAGATCCTTGCCAATATTTGACATTGCGGGGCTTTTAAATTTTATCCCTTCTATTGCATATCTAGTGATAGCTTATTGTGGTTTTTATTTGAGTTTCCCTGTTGATTAAGCATCTTCTCATGACTTATTAGTCATTTGTATATCTTTTATGAGGTGTCTGTTCAAATCCTTTGCCTATAATTTTATTTTTTTCCTCCTTTTTAAATTTAATTTAATTTAATTTTTTTTGTACTTGAAACAACAAACATTTATTATTTCTCATGATTCCTCCTTTTTTTTTTTTTTTACAACTTAAACTTTAGTTACTTAACCTATCGTGCTGTGTTGGTTTCCTGAGTAGAATTCAGTGATTCATCGCTTATGTACAACACCCAATGCTTCTCACAACACGTGCCCTCCTTAGTACCTATCACCTATCTAGGCCATTTCCTACCCACCCCCTGTCAACCTGTAAGGGTCTCTTGTGGTTTATTTCCCTCTCTTCTCTTCACCCCCTCATTCCCATACGTTCATCTCTCTTGTTTCTTAAATTCCACATAAGACTTTCTTTGTCTTTCTTCAATTCCACATATGACATACTTGTCTTTCTTTGATTGACTTATTTCACTTAGCTTAATACATTCTAGCTCCATCCATGTCATTGCAAGTGTTTTTGTCCATTACTGTATTAAATTGGTTTGTTTGCCTTTTTGAGTTGTAAGAGTTTTTCATTTATCTTGTAAGAAAATTGATTGCTAGTTGTATGTATGGTGAATATTTTGTCCCAGTTTGTGGCTTATCTTTTCATTTTCTAAATGGTACCTTTTAAAGAGAAGATTTTATAAATTTTGGTAAAGTTTAATATATTAGTTTCTTTATAGTTATGATTTTCTTTTATAGTTCCTTTTATGTCTGAAAATGTCAGTGTAAGAATTTTCTGCCTACCCCAGGGTCATAAGATTTTCTGCTATGTTTTCTTCTAGAGAAGTGTTACAATTTTTGTATCTAGATCTTTGATTCATTTTGAATTAAACATTTTGTTTATAGTATTAAGGGAAGACAAGTTTCTTTGTTTTGTGAGTGGCCGGATGTTCTAACACCAATTGTTCAAAAGATATTCTTTCTTAATTTAACAAGATAAACTCTTAATTTCACATTTTATAGCATTATTTAAATCGTGTAAATTCTGCAGGGTTTTTTTTGTTATGTAAGACTGTTTTGTTATTGTTTTCTTTTGTTCATATATTTTATTTTTTTAAGTTTATTTATTTTGAGAAAGAGAGCGAGCTGTGGAGGGGCAGAATGAGAGAGAGAGAGAGAGAGAGAGAGAGAGAGACAGAGAGAGACAGAGAGAGACAGAGAGAGAGAGAGAGATGAATCCCAAACAGGCTGTAAACTGTCAGCCTAGAACCTGATGTAGGGCTGCATCTCAGGAACTCTGAGATCATGAGCCGATCTGAAATCAAGAGTAGGATGCTCAACTGACTGAGCCAACCAGGCACCTTGTTCATATGTTTTAGAATCAGCTTGTCAATAACCATAAGAAAAGCTGCTTAATTTTTAATTAAGATTGTGTTGAATCCATAAAATCAATTTGAAGAGAGTAGGTATTTTGACAATTTGAGGTTTTAAAATCTACTAAACATTGTCTATTTTTCCACTTAGTTTTCTTTAATTTCTATTAGCAGTGTTTTATAGTTTTCATTGTATAGCTTTGTATATTTTTAAGTTTATTTTATATTTTAATGCTTTTGTTAATATTATTATTTTCATTTTCCAGTTGGGTATTGCCGTTATGTAGACCTTATATATCAATATATTGACCTTGTATCTAAGAATCTTGTCAGCTTTACTTACAAGTTTTAGTTTTTTTTCCCAGAACCTTTAGGATTATTACATACATGAACATATCTACAAATACTGTGTTACTCCTTTTTCAAACTGTGTTTTTATTTCTTCTTTTAATCTGTCATTTGAACTGGTTTGAACCCTGTTACAATATTGAGTGGAAGTCATGAGAGAGAGGACATACTTGTTTTATCCCCAGTTTTAGTTGAATGATATCCATAGATGTGCTTCCTAAGGTTTAGAAAATCTCTTTCTATTCCTAGTTTGTGGAGTGTCGTTTTGTTTTTTTTAATCATGAAATGGTTCTGAATGTTGTAAAATGCTTCAAAAAAAAACTGGTGTGATATGTTTTTCTTCTTTTTTTGTTATATGGTGAATTATACTGATTGATATTCAGATATTAAATCAATCTTCCATTTCATGGTTAAACTCTTCATCATGGTGTGTATACTTAATTTTATGTATAGCTGAATGCTAATGTTTTATTATGGATTTTGTGTTTATTTACACAAATTGGATTAGTTTTTTTTGTTTTCTATTCCCATATTGTAAAGTTAATCTCAGTATATTGCTTAGCTTCTATCATGTGAAAAGTGTTTAAGGTTTGTATTATTTCTTCCTTAAATATTTAAAATTTTATAATATAACATTTAAAGCTGTACATTTTCATTTAAATTCAGCCTTATCTAATTATCACAAATTTTTCTAATTTTCCTGGTGATTTTATCTTTGATCCATAAGTTATTTGGAATTGAACTATTTAATTTTCAATTATTTTGGAACTTTTTACATTTTTTTTCAGGCTGTATATTCTGCTAAAAATCAAAAGGACCTCTATCTGCATTTCTCTCTCTGAGTAACTTCCTCTTCTCTAGTCATTTATCCTTCATGTTTCTATCTTACCTTCTCAATAGACATCTTTAACCTTGTTTCACATATAAAAGCTATAGGAGAAATAGGTTTCCTAACTCTTGAAAATGTCTTAAAAATAGATATTTGGGGAATAGCATAAGATGCAAGTGTATGTGGCATAAGGATTCATAGGCAGGCATGTTGAAGGGTAATATGCCACACTGATGAATTATAGAAGGCCACAAGGCCTTAGCTAGTAAAATTTGGTCCTAATTGTTCATTAGTTTAGACAATTATGTACTTTTTAAAGAGTAGGGTATATATGTGTGCAAAACCAAAATAAATTCTTGAAGTAATTCTGGGACTGTTTGTAAGAGAGCAATTAAAAGATTATTTCAAGAACTGAGTTGTGAACTTACAAAGATCTGTCTTAGGACGGTGGTAAGAGTGATAAGTGGTAAGAAGTAAATGAGTTTTGCTGAAATGGGATGAAGAGATATGAAGAAAGGGAAATTGAGAAGTCACAGATGAGAGAAGTATAGTAGCATGTGTGGGATAAAGATGGTAATTGCAGTGTTGTACATTTTGAATTTTAGGTGCTTATTGGATAATTGGAGACTATCTTGCATTTAGAAATGTGGGCTCAGAGTTCAGGAAAACAGCTCAGGCAGATATGAAAAATTTGAAATGTGGCTCTCAATAGATAATAGGAGATGATGTGGGAGTGAATGATATTGCCAAAGGACATTTGGCAAAGCCTTAAGGAAATGCCAGAATTTCATAATGAGAAATAATAAAGGAAAAAGTTTGACCATCAGGAAGGAAGCAATGACAGGAGGATACTAGAGGAATCTGCTTCATTTTTTTATTGCTCCCTGAGCTTTCATACAAAGGACAATAGTGAAGTTAGGTAGAGATGTAGCATCTGGAAGGAAAGACTGAATGTGATACTGTTTTTATGTTTTCATTTACATTTAAAGAGCTGAAATAGTTGCCTGAATTATAAATGGCCAGTCTAAATTGTTTCTGTCTTCAGTTATTATTTTATCTTTTCCCTGCAATTAAATTAATTTCTTTTAAGAAGTAGGTTTATTTGTCTTATATTTATTTATTCTACAGTAATAAGTCTTACATTTCTTTAGCAATAATCAAATATATTTGAACTATCATTTCCCAGGATGCTTACTTCTTTTCTTTTTAGATTCAGATATTTTTGTTTAGGTTCAGATATTTTTCTGGTCATTGTTGTGATGTCATATTACCCAGTTTATGTGTTGCTTAAAAATGGGAAAACTGAAAAGTTGGTGTAAAGTAAAACTGAGTGAAAGTATTAGACCTGGCTGTTGATTTTATTGACAGGACAGTAGGGTTTCTTGGTGTACCTCCACTCAGTCTCCAACCACAAGCACATATACATTCACAAATATATACTCCAGCAGTAAGTAATATGTATTTGATCTTGAAGCAAATATTCCTCATCTGTTCTTCACTGTGAATGATATACCATACAAAGAATATATTATTGGTTTTTAATAAGAACGTGTTCAAATTACATCTTAAAGATTTTTTAAAAATAGATATAAGTTCATTATATCTTTAGAAAACATTCTTGTTTGGTTTCCTTTTATCATGTTTTAAGGTCAGAATGTGACTCTAATGTTCCACAATGAGACAGAGATTGATAATCGGGAAAGAATAGCCCTTTAATGTGATTTATATCTATAGATTTTATGTCAGATATGAAAAGTTGCTGTTTAAATTGTAAAGGAGGATCCATTAAAGAACACTTTAAACCATTTTACTATTTAGCTTACCTTAGACTCTTATGTTTAGAATTATGCCTTTCCAAGCACAGTCTAATAACTTACCAAATGTTTACAAATAAATTTGCTAAAATTAAATTATTCTAATATTAATAACAGAAAAAGAAGCCATTCAAAAATTTTTTTTGCTGTTTTTGGTACTGTTTAATATTACTGTATATGGTGTTGAGGGGAGTATTAAAGCCAATAATTTTCTAATTTTCATCATTAATTTCCTCTTATCAGGTGAGGTTAGGGCAGATTTATGGATATAGTGTTGAATGCTGAAGATATAAAAATCTTCAAATGTTTACCATTTTGTCTTTTTGATTTTAGTGTATGGTTGAGTTAGATATGAAGTAACCTATAGCATGCTGCCTGGTTCTTTAATCTATCTCTGAAAATAACACATAGCAGTTGATATTTTTGTTGCAATGGAATAATTCCCTAGTTATCTTCACTTAAACTGCTGCTTCTTCGAGTATTTCTTAATCGTATTTTTTTATTTTCCCAAATCATATTTTTGACAAATCGAATTGTCTTATGGTTTGACTCAGTGTTTTTTGATATGTGCAATATGATATTTTCCTTTAATTTCTTATAAATTATTCTAGTTGCTAACATGATTTGTTTTCTCCACATCAGTGTTTAAGTAAAATAAATAATTTGCTTTTACCAGTGTACAAAAAATACGAGGTTGCCTCAAATCTTCTAGTTGTCCAATTCTTAGAGCTAGTATAATCCCTTCATTTTGCAGGTGAGGACAATTAGACCTGAAGAAGCAAAACAAATTAGTTGCCCAAGACTGATAGGAGATACTTCCAAGGATGATACTTCAATCTGGTTTTTACTTTGCTTTTCCATCTCATGTTTATTTGTGTGTGTGTGTGTGTGTGTGTGTGTGTGTGTGTGTATAATACATATTCATATATGTTCTCAAACCCTTCCATTTTGTATCTTCCTTCATAGCAGTTTGGATGTTCCTCTAATTACTTTTGGTATATGTTATTATTAAAAATAATTTTTAGAGGCACCTTTATAGCTCAGTTGGTTGAGCATCTAACTCTTGATTTCAGTTCAGGTCATGATAACAGGGTTGTGGGATTGAGCCCCATGATGGGCTCCTCACTGAGCATGTAGCCTGCATAAGATTCTCTCTCCCTCTCTCTGCCCCTATCCCCTGCTCGGGCACACAGTCTCTCCCTCCCTCCCTCTCTCTAAATACAAAAAGTAAACACATAAAAATTTTATAAAATCCGTTTTTAGCTTTAGTAATTTAATGTCAGTAATATACTTTTATTACCACTTCCCTCCTACCAATCGGAAGGGAATGGGGATTCTCCCAGGCAAAGGCTATCAAGATAATGCAACTTTGATCCCCATTGGCTAGTGCTTTGCATAGACTAAGAAATATTTGATTCCTTAGTCATATACATAAACACCCTATCAGTTGGGTTGTTTTTGATGTTATGAATGGAAAACCTAATTCATACTGGCCAATGAATAAAGAGGAGTTTATAGAGTCTCATAAAAAGTTTAAAAGAAAAAGTCTCAGCAGAAAGTCTAAAGATAGGCTAGTTTTTGACTCAGAAGTTCATGATTCTCTTTGGAATCAGCTCTATGTTTCTGTAATTCTCATAGCTCTGCTCACTTTGGGTTTTGGCTGTATCCCCAGGCTAGCCTTCTTCATGGTATAGAGAGAGCTTTCAACACTCCTGGAATTAAGGTACTTCCGTATTTTACACCCTAACAAGAAGGAAAGAAATTTCCAGCAAAAGTTTTGACCATCTTAATGCATCAGTTAGGTTGAGTGCCTTCCCCTGAGCTAGTTTGTCATTGTGGGTGTAATGATTACCCAAACTGGTTTACGATAGTTAGTGCCCTCTCTTTTTATTGGGGCAGTGCTAGGGGGTAGTGTGTGGCAACAATCTACTTGAACCAGAATACAGTAGAAAGGCAGGAAATCACAATGTGTATCATACACATAAACTAGTAATATGTGTTCCAACATCAAATTTTTATAACTTCCCATTGGTTATGTATACATGTGCTTGAATATGAGAACTTGCATTTGGAAGTTAAGAGGAGGAGCCCAGTAGGTTCTGTGAATAGAATTAAAGATAAAGTTTACATTAATCTTTGCTTTCCTGTTTTTAGCAATATATTAACTAGTCAGTATAATAATAACACCAGGAGAATCTGAATTTCAGAAGAAATAATTGTCTTAAAACTTAGTGATTATACTGTATCTGGTTATTGCTAATGAATCCTAACATTTTTTGGTAAAATTGATGATATCAAAGACAGCACTTTTCAAACTTTAATATATAAATCACCTTGGGTTCTCATTAAGATTTGGATTCTGATTTAGTAGGTGTGGACTAGGCCTATAATTCTGCATTTTTTATAAGTTCCTGGGTGGTTCCAGTACTGTTGATTCATTTTGCATAGCTACGGTTTAAAAGAGCAAACTTTTTGTCATCTTGTAAGGTTGTTGAGAATTAGCCTGGTTTACTATTGCAAGCCACCAGTGTCTGTTTTCTGGACCTCTGTGGTGGCCTCAGGACTGGTCTCTCTTCTTAACTTTTCTTCTGCTATAATCCACTCTTTATTTATTTTTAAATATTTGTTTATTTTTGAGAGAGAGAGAGAGACAGAGAGAAAGAGAGTGCACAAATAGGGCAGGGACAGAGAGAGAGGGAGACACAGAATCTGAAACACGCTCCAGGTTCCAAGGTGTCAGCACAGAGCCCGATGTGGGGCTCAAACTCATGAACTGTGAGATCAGGCCTGAGCCGAAGTCACTTAACTGACTGAGCCACTTAGGTGCCCCTATAATCTATTCTTTAAATAGACCTATAGAGATCATTTTAATATATATATCAATCACATCACTCTCCAGCTTAAAAATTTCCTCCAGTATCCCACTGCATTAAATTAAAATCTAAACTCCTTAGTGTAGTGACTCAGTACTAAATGGTGCAGCCCCTGCCTGCTTCTCCAAACTCATTTTTTACTCTCCTTCTTCTGAGTCACTTTGCCTGGAGTGCTTTGCAGCCCCATTCTTGCTACTTGTAAAGTGGATCCCTGCATCTTCACATGGTTGGTGTCTTCCAGTTATTTAGGTCTCCTTAAAAACAACTTCTGAGTGTATCTCATAAATGACTTCAGAGAAATAAATTCTTGGGGGATTGTTGTACTGGGGTAGTAGATCACTAAATCTCAGTTCAGTTAATGAGGGATATAAAAGTAATTTTAAAGTTTTGGTTGGTTCAGTTCATGTTAGAGGCTATTTTATTGTATGTTGTATGTTCTTATAGTATTAATAGATGTTTATTTTTTCCTATTCAAGTCACTGTGTGCCCAGTACTCTGCAGACAAACGAGAAGATGAGAAGATGTGTGATCATTTGATAAGAGCAGCTAAATATCGAGACCATGTGACAGCAACTCAGCTAATCCAGAAAATTATCAACATTCTCACAGACAAGCATGGAGCCTGGGGAAATTCTGCAGTGAGGTAAAGGGATACCTTTAGGATTTGACCACTGATTTTCTACAGAAGGCCTAGGTTTAGATAAATAACTTTGGATATGATCAAGGCCAGATGACCACAGTAATAATTTAACTTTGTATTTTATCATCTACTATGAATGAGGGGTAGAAGAAAAGGATAGGAGAAAATCAGTATGGGTATAGTTAGGGATCGTTATAGATATTTTAGTTCCCTCAACTACTTCTAAAAGAGTATTTGTTCATATACTTATTCTTTTTGAAGTTAACTTTTAAGGGAAATAGTTAACATAAACTGTTTTATTAGCTATACTTATATCTGAATTTGCACAAATACAATATTTTAAGAAACTATTCCCTGTTTTACATTTTTGAGTTTATAAACACATAAATTTGAAAATATCAGTATGTGTTCTTTTGAACTGCCTTGTAAATTTTAAGACTATGATAATTAAATGCCTTCTTTAAAATTTTATTTACTATATCTTCCTCTTTGTTAGATTCTCAAAGTAAACATGCTGTTATTTTATTTTAAATTTCCAGAAACAAAATAATTAAGTTACCTTCTAAGGCAACTTAGACTAATTATAAAATATGATTTTATTGGAATATTTTATGCTATAAATCTTAAAAACATGTTTGACTCATTTAAGTTTTGTTAATGAAAATGTTCTGTAATTTCCCTTTAGAAAGACATTTTTTTAGCTCCTCATTTTTACATAACTTTTTCTAGAAGACAACAAAAAATGAAAATAGTAAATTGTGTATTATGTATAGGTGTAACTAGTTTCCACTTGTGTTTTAAGTAGCTTATGCGTCTAACATCTACGTCTAGTTTTAGAAATTTTCCAGTATATAGAAAATAATGTTAATTTTTTCAAGTCAGATTTTAAACTGAGTAGAAAGCTACCTGTTATGGGAAATTTTTGTTTTGACTACAAGTATGCACCAATATAGAGTAGATATATCTTATGCTTATTATTAAGAATACTTAAAAGTATTAAGAATACTAAAATAAGTTACATTTCAGGACATATCATTTTTGGTGTTTAGAGGAAGGAATACAGGTCAAGGACTTGAGGGCAAAAGGACTGAATAAAGGCAGGAATAGCATTTGTTTAATTCTATTCTTGTTGATCTCAGCTACAAGAGTGCCATGGAAATGACATGAATTACTGGGTCAGAGGTTTCTGGTGCCTTATCTTACAACATGTAAAAGCCTATGTGTGTGCGTTTGGGGCAGAGTGCAGGTTCGGGGGAAGGGGGTGTATTGAGGGTTTTGCAGTTTTAAGATACCTTAATGTTACAGATGTAGTCATTTTATAATCAGGCACTGAATAAATTAGGATGTTACTTTGACATACAGTGCCTGGCACATATTGGGAGCTCTGATATGTGTTGAATTTTTTAGAAGTATTTTTTTCTTCTTAAATGGAGGTTTTATGATTTTAAAATTGAAAACCCTTAAGTAACTTATGCCAAGTATGTCATTTCATGAGATCAAAATTTTTTCTAATGATATCTTTACTCCTGTATAGCACAGTATACCTGCACTATCAACATGAAAGCATTGGTTTTCTGAAGTGATTTTGGTGTAATAAAGTATCTTGGAGAACTAAGATACTTTAGTATCTTAGATGGACTGTGAAATGTATTTATATAGAAATAATTAGTATTTCTGTAATAGAGTTGTTTGAAGCCATCAACTCTTATTTTATATAGCTAAAAACAATGAAGTAAATTCTGAAATTGTAATACTTCAAAAAACACACATAAAATACATATTTTACTTTTTTTATTTCCAAACGAAAGCAGCTATCAAACTGTTAGCTTTTAAGTGTGTACATTTTTAATTAAGAGCAACAACAAAAGATGTATCATCAAAAGGAAAACTAATATTAGTGAATTGTTAGTTTTCTACACATCGCATAACTTAGCTTTTATTCAAAACATTACTATGGCAAAGCACATTGCCTGCATACTAATCTTTATTTTGTCATTATATTTAGTTCTGTGTTACATTCAACTGTTACTTGTTAAGAATACCTGGCTGTTCCTTAATGCCTTTAATACACTTTTCTTAAAATGGTTCTTTTCAGTGTCCCAATTAAAGTGAACTTGTAGACCCTGGTGCTTCTTTTTTAGATAACTGCAAAAAAAAAAAAAAAAAAAAAAAAAAAAAAAAAAAAAAAAAAGTAGTTGATAAAATGTATGCTGGCTCACCATTCTTTGACAGTGGTTAACTATTCTCTGATTTCCCTTGTATGAGGCTTGCATAATCAGCTTGTAAATTATGGGCATGGTTGTAATAAATGAGACTAACACAGTGTACTTTGTTCTTCACTTAGCATAATTCTAGAAAACATAAATGGCATTAGAGAGAAATTGGAGTCCTACTGTAGCTATAATGCATTTAACTATCCTAAGCCTGTTAAAAGAAATATGCACAATGAGCAAAATTTCAGTAAAGAGGATTAAATTATTTTAAGTGTAATTTCTTTGTGTTA